GCGCCATGTGATCGCTCTTTGAGAGCGATCACATGGCCCCCGGGGGCCTCATTTGCCGGGGGAGGGCTGTCTGGGCTGTCAGAAGAGGATCACGGTGGAGGTGAGTAGATCTTATCTCCTGGGGGCTTAAGCCGTTACAGCGTTCTATGCCGCCGCAACGGCTTTAAAGCCCTTTAAAGCCGCGATGGCATAGAATGCCGTAACGGTGTTAAGGGGTTAAAGGACCACTATAGTGCCAGGAAAACATATTTGTTTTCCTGGCACTATAGTGCCCTGAGGGTGCCGCCACCCTCAGGGTCCCACTCCCGCCGAGCTGGATGGAGAAGAAGGGGTTAACTTACCTTTCTGCAGCGCCAGGCTCCCTCCTTTCCCCATCATCGGCTGAATGTGCAGCAAGAACCGCGCACGCATTCAGCCAGTCTCATAGGAAAGCATTCACAATGCTTTCCTATGGACGCTGGCTTCTTCTCACTGTGAAAATCCAGTGAGAAGCGCGGAAGCGCCTCTAGCGGCTGTCAATGAGACAGCCACTAGAGACTGGATTAGCCCTAAAGTAAACATAGCAGTTTCTCTGAAACTGCTATGTTTACAGCAGAAAGGGTTAATCCTAGGTGGACATTAAGCTGAAGTGGTCTGGGTGCCTATAGTGGTTCTTTAACACTTAAAACAACTGATGTTAGAGAAGTGGAGTGAAGTGTAAATAAGTAACATGTATTTTGCTACAAGACATTACCGTATTCTGAATTTTACTCCAGGACCGATGCATATATTTGTTCTGCAGGAATCTGATGTGAAGCTTTCCAGCCCAACACCCTTATCAGAATGAAACAGGAGGAGTAATATTAGATTAGACTTATGAGAATGGCTTTAACCAGTGACATGGAATGGTGACCCATATACATATTTCACTGATAAAATATATCTACATTCTTATCTATCCTGCACAAGCGACAAGCACTTCCTTGTAACTACCAATTTCTTCAGACAGACATAGGTGCTCACTATTAGAAACCATAACCAAACACTGCCATCTGCTGTCTCATTTAAATGACGTGACAACCAAGCCCACATTCTTTTTAACTGCACTCCATTTGGTCTTGGCTCTGCTTGCCTCTGTCACAGTGTCCATACATGATCCCAAATGAAACCAATGCTGAAAAGTTCTGTTCAAGGGATTAGAATCTTTACATTGTTAGACTGAGAGCGTGTTCAAAAGAAGGAGCTTGTGTGCAAAGATGCAATCCGTCATAGTTCCCAGTTATCGGAAATGGCTGGGCCCCTTACAAAACCATACTGTTGAAACTGCCCCTCACCCGGTGCACACAGATACAAACTCCCAGACACAAGCACACATGGATAAACTCACTCAAATACAGAGATACACACTCACAGATAGGTAATCTCGGCTACATATATGCATTCCCAAACAAACACAGATATACGCATTCACTGGTACACACTAACACACAGTTACAGACGGCCGTACACACATAGATGCACTGCTAGACACACACATTCCCAGACATAGACTGCCACACTCACAGATATATATTATGACACAAGTAGATGCAAACTGCCACACACTTGAATACACACAGAGGCGGCTCATGATTTAGAGGTCTTAGGTAATACTCTAGTGCGAGGCCTTTTAAAAAAACTTCATCCACCAAAATTTTAAAATTGACACCCTAATTACCATAACTACTTCAGCTTCTTATAATAATTAATGCATGGAATCTATGAGTAAACGCGCAAAGGGGAGGATTCACTGGTACCCAAACATGTCCCTACTGCTTTGTGTGAATGCAAGGATGTACTTGCATGTAGGATCTGTGCATGAATCAAGAGTGTTGAATTTGTATTAGTCAATGCAATGCTAGACAGGCAATGTTTATTTTTTTCCATGCGGCAGGGTTGTCTGAGGGGAGGATACTCGTTTGTGGTCTGGCGCTCACCAATAAGTCAGAAAGCAGTCGCCTGTATTCTCAGCCTGTACTTAAGGGAACAATTACTTGGTTTGCACCCACTAGAGCACCAGACCAAACACTCCTAGACTGGACCAACATGATGCATAGCCCCCTTCTTCCCTGAAAGCTAAGCAGAAGAAGGAGGCAAAACAGAACACACAAACTACACACAACCAGCACACTTCACACACACAGCCAGAACACACCGTGCAAACACATGACACACAGCCAGCCAACATTACACACACTGTACACAACCAACACACACTGATGGTGCACAATACACAAATTATACACAGTCAACACAAAAACACTTAAACACAGCCTGCAAGCGCACACAAATTACACACAAAGGTTCAACAGGATAGGCACACAGGTATGACAGGAACACAAATAAAATATACAACCTTTTGGCCAATAGGACTTGATCACGTATTATAAACATAAAACACTTACAGCAGTTTAAGTAGACAATAAAACTGCTTCACGCAAACAAAATTTTGGACATGCATATAAGGCCAGGTGTGGCTGCCATTAATGTATTCCAGCTTGTACTCTCAGAACTATGTGTTGTCTTGTTACTGGGAAGGGAAAGGGCTACTCTTTAATCACTGTTCCAGTGTGGAGGATTCAACGGGGAAAGTCCTTGTAAGGACTAGAGCTCCCAGGACTGAGTGTCGTCCAGTGCCTGGAGGGGGTCTAGAGCGAATTCCCCATTTGCCTCCAGGCGAGAGCGGTTCCAGGGCCCCACTCAAGCCACGGCGACTCTGGGCAGAAGTGCTGTGGTTTGTTCCCTGTTCCAGCTAGGAAGCGGTGCTTGGCAGAGGTACACAGCCAAACCCATCACCTTGTCCATATATGGAGATTCCAGGACGATTTCGCCAAACTCAATATGGGGGATATCCTTATTTATTCAGTGGCCGTATATTTGACCTTCAAAGGCCTTAGGCCTTTAGGCGCCCTGTGCGAAAAATCTTCACAGCGCTCCTCCCCCCCCCAAGTCATCCATGTATTATGTAATGTTTGTGATGACTGTGTTTGATATGTATGCTATGTGTTGGCTGTGTGTGATATTTGTAATGGGTGTATTAACAGTGTGTGATATGCGTGTATTGGTTGTATGTGATATTTGTGCTGGGTCTATTGGTTGTGTGTAATGGTTATTTAATTCAGATAAAAAACATGCATTTAGGCCTATGTGTGAATGCAGATGTATATTTTTGCAGAGTTATGTGCACACAGTCAGATGCACACGGTTCTATATTTACACTGTCAAATCCACCACATGCACATAGTCGCAGGCAGATAGTCACATACACAGGATCAGGCAGTAACACACATACACAGTTACAGGTAGATAAACACACACACAGTCTTACACACACACACAGCCACACGCAGAGGCGGCTCTAGACTTTGCAAGGCCTTAGGCGAAAGTCAAACATGAGGCCCCCCATTTACACCATTAGTGAAAAAAATTGCTGCAGCTCCCTATGCCGCTGTGTTGTGAGCACTTTTACTGTAGATATGACATAAATTGCTAATCATTTGTATACGATTGCTGGGTATGGTTGTATAGCCTGACATTTCCCTACATATTCTAAATTCCTTAACATGTATATTATCATATATGTGTTTCCCTATGTATTTTATATGTATGTATGTATGAATGAATGAATGCAGGGGGTGACAGGGGGCTTAGTGATGGGTGACAGGGGGCTTGGTGATGGGTGACAGGGGGCCTAGTTAGGGTGACAGGGGGCCTGGTGAGGGGTGACAGGGGACTTAGTTAGAGGGTGACAGGGGACTTAGGGGTGACAGGGGGCTTAGGTAGAGGGTGACAGGGGACTTAGGGGTGACAGGGGACTTAGTTAGGGGGTGACAGGGGACTTAGGGGGTGACAGGGGACTTAGTTAGGGGGTGACAGGGGACTTAGACTTAGGAAGAG